TTGGAATCCAGCTCCCTGGGGTGTTTGATATCCAGCTCCCTGGGGTGTTTGATATCCAGCTCCCTGGGGTGTTTGATATCCAGCTCCCTGGGGTGTTTGATATCCAGCTCCCTGGGATGTTTGATATCCAGCTCCCTGGGTTTCGCTGGCAGCCCCAGCCCCTCTGTCTGTGCCAGCTGAGCAGTGCTGGCTTCCTTGCCCCAGGGCATCATGTTCCTGCCCCTGGTTTTGGGTAGGGACCATGTGGATCCCTCCCAGAGGCAGAGGAGGGCCAGAGGAGGGCTGGGGCAGGGTTGGTGTGGGGCCAGCCCTGTGCTGGGGGGTCTGCAGGCCCATCCATGCCCAACATCCCAACATCCCAGCCCCATGTGAGCAGGGCAGTGCCATGGGGCAAAGGAAATGAGGGCAAAACCCTCAGTGCTCATCCCCCATCGGGCACCAAGGAGGCATCAGGAGCCAGGGACAGGATCTGGTGCCAACCCCAGACCTGCCCTGGGCACAGCCCCAGCGAATGTGGGCAGGGCGGGGGGTGCAGGGGGATGTGAGTCCTCCCTCTCTGCCCTTCCCAAGGCCAACTCTGGGCTTTGCCCCCCCTCTGAGGGGCTCGGGCAGCCCTTGGCACGGGGCAGGAAGGGTGGGAATAGAGGGACACGGTGCTTGATTCCATCCCTGTTTGTCCACAGGGCCCCTGTGGAGCCCCAGGAGAGCCGGGGGAGAAAGGCCAGCGGGGGTACACGGTGAGGGGCTGGGGGGGCTTCCTGGGGGGAGAGCCCAGTTTGGAGGGGTTGAGTGTGTGCTTGGGAATGTCCTGGGATCTTCAGGGACCCTGCCCCTCGTGGATCAGCCCTGGGTGAGGGAGAACATGACGGGTTTGGGGCCGGTTTGGGAATGGTTGGGTTGGGTTTGCCCCCCCTCTGGTTTACATTTGGCCCATCTGCTGGAGCCCAGCAGAGCCAGAGGTGCTTGGGCTTCTTGCAAAACTTCAAAGAGCAATAAATACTCCTTAAAGTTTGGATTAGAAGTGGGATGGGGTGACAGTGCTGGATTTGGGGCTGGGTGCCCCCTGTGTGCTTGGCCAGGAGTGAGCACAGGGCGTGATGGGGCCCTTCAGGGCGGGAGGTGGAAAAGCAAATCTCCCCAAAACAGCATGGATATTTTTGCAACCAGATTCTTCACCTGAGCAGGAGCTGAGGCAGCTGCATCTTTCTACCCTTCCTTCAAATTGGCTTTTTAAACTAAAACCAAGCCCAGTTTTTGGACTTGACAAAATGTCCCAGAATTTTTGAGAAAACCAAACAATCACAGCAAGTTGAAGGGAAATGTCCTCTCTTTGGTCCAGACTGCTCTTTAACTTGCCTGAATTCAGGATTTTCAGGGATCTAAGGGCTAAAGTAAAAGCTGCCCCTAAGCTTTAGCTGGTGATGCCCAGTCCAGAGGATCCTGCACATGGGAAAGCATCAGGAATGGCCATGGCTTGGAGCCAAGAAGCTGATGCAGAAGGTTTTCACTTGACCTTCTCTTACTTCCATGTTGTAAGTCACTGGTTGGGACTATCCCACTGTTTTGGTGGAGAACCTGGGCAGATCCATGTGCCAGACACTTGCAGCAACTGGATTACTGAAGCTTTTCCCTGCCAGCCCTGCCCATGTCCTGGTCAGGAATTGCTGCAAAATCCAGAGGCAGGCAGAGCTCAGGGTTTCGTTCGTTGGTATCACAATAATGTGGATATTTTAACTTTCTGTGCATGGCTTTTTTTCTCCCCAGGGTGAACCCGGGCTCCAGGGCTTGCCAGGACGGGTGGGTTACCCTGGCTCAGATGGCACCCCTGGCCTGGATGGCAAACCTGGGCCGTGGGGGCTGCCAGGGGAGCAGGTGAGGATGGGCAGGGCAGGGCCAGAGAGCCCAGAAACTCCTGATGCTGCTCCTTGTGTTCTCTTACCTCCTTCAGAATATTCCTCCTAAGCCCACAATCCAGGCAGTCCTGGATCAGGGTTGAGGCTCATGTTTCCCAGGATAAAGGGCTGTGGAACATCCCAGATGTGCATTCAGGTGCTGGGATAACTGGAGTGCTGCAGCTCCTGGATTGGGCTGGGTGCAGGCACGAGGGCTGGAACTTGGAATCATGGAATGGTTTGGGTTGGAAAGGACCTTAAAAATCACCTCCCTCCACCCCCCTGCCATGGGCAGGGACACCTTCCACTGTCCCAAGTGGGTCTGAGCCCTTGAGGGCTCAAAACTTGGAGGTGGAGATAGAAATGAGAGCAATTGTGGGCTGCCTGGATGACATTCAGCTCAGGGAGCTGGTTCCTTGGGGCTGGGATGGTCCCTGCCCTTTTCCAGACCCTGGGCACCAATTCCTGGGGAATACAGCACACCAGGGCTTGGGAGCTTCCTCAGGGGGGGTTTGGAGGACCGTGCTGAGGGTTTGGGGCACTGAGGAGGGGGTTGGACACGGGTGGGAGGTGCTGGGCAGCCCCTCAGTGCCTGCTCTGCTCCTTCCTCCCTCTCCCCAGGGGCTGCAGGGCTTCCAGGGTGACCGTGGGGTGGCTGGAGAGAAGGGAGAGGAGGTAAGTGGGCTCTTGTGGTGCTGTGGGCACGGTGCAGTGCCAGCCCCAGCCCCAGCACGTACCAAGCACTCAGAGCTTTCATCACTGGTTTCACTGGTACCACACCAGCAGCAGGAGCTGCCAGTGCACGTTGCTGCAGCTCCTCTCCAGGGGATTTGTCAGCCAGGATGTAAAATGTCCATAGAAAGGGGAATGCTAATGGTTTGTCACCCTTTATTTATTTATTTATTTTAATCCCTTTTCTCTCCCACTTGGTTTTTTTAAAGCTAAAATTTTTAGAGCTGCCCCAGGGAGATTTTTGGGCTCCTCTGAGGTCTGATCGTGCCAGGGCTTTGGAAACCTGATTTCTTCTTTTTGAAACAGCAACCCCACGTGTTTTATCATATGTGATATCTTATGTATGATATCATATCTCTATAATTTGATATATTATCATGTTATCCTATATCTTTTCTGGCCCATCCTTTGTACCCTCCTGGCCGTGGAGAGCCCTGTGGGTGCTGGGACACCTCTGTGTCACTGCTGTGGGGGATGTAGCTTGGGACACAGGATGAGGGACCAGCACCCAGGGTTTGCTCCTGTGGGGACTCTTTTTGTAGCATGTGGGGGGTCCCCATCCCCCTGAGCCCCACCAACTGTGTCCTTAAGCTCCTGATGGTCCAGCTGGAGCTCACACATCCTTGTTCTTCCCTTTTCAGGGTTTCTTGGGTGACCCTGGGCCTGCTGGGGAGAAAGGAGAGAAGGGAGTGAAGGTGAGGGGGTCTGTCTGTGCTCTGGGGTTGGGCAGGGAGGGGGTTCCTCCTTCCCTGCAACCCCAGGTCATGCTCTCCTCCATTGCTCAGGCTGCTCTTGCCTTTTCCAGGGGGTGAAGGGAGAAAATGGCCTGCCAGGTCCTGCTGGGCTCCAGGTGAGTGAACAGAGGGTGTCTCGCTCCCTGCTGTGCCAGGATTCCTCCTGCCCTCCATCCCCTTTCCTGCTTTGCCCCCTTTGCCTCTCTGTGATGTCCCCAAGCTCCATCTCTGACTCCAGCTCATGGCTTTAAGCAAAGTCTTCCTGTTCCCTGTGTTTTCCTGACCCTCCTGCAAGGGATGGGACAGAGGCAGCTGCCACCTCAGGGTGGGCACTTCCCTGACACCCCCTCCTGGCTTCTCTCCCAGGGGCTGTCGGGTCTGAAGGGTGTGATGGGCTTCCAGGGCCCTGCAGGGCCAGAGGTGAGTGGTTTTACTTCCTCTCTGTCCCCAAAGAGGTGCAGGAGCCTGGTGATCCCACTGGAAAGATGGCTCTGAGGAGGGAGGACCTGGGGATTTGCCTCCCCTCCCGACTGACCTCTCCCACCTGGATGTTTGAATCCCAGCCTGTTCTCCTGTTCTCCCCTGGCTGGGGGTGAAGTGAAATGAGCCTTTGCAGAGTTTCTTCCAGTGGTTTATTGTAGGTTTCTTTTAGTGGTTTATTGTAGGTTTATTTTAGTGGTTTATTGGAGGTGGCCACCTTCAGCTGAGGTGAATCCCAGGCTGGCAGTGCCTGGGTTTTCCATGCTGCTCCCAGCCGTGTCTTTGGGAGCATCCCGGCCAGGACTGGGCTTGCAGAGGATTTCAAAGGCAAATTGAAGTGGTTTGGTGGTGAATGGAAGCACCTTCCAACAGGAAGGGAGTGGGCCTGGTTGTGGGGGCATCAGGTAGCTGATACTTGGTGTGAAGGAAAGGGGGAATTTGGGATGAAGGAGAGAGTCAGAGAAAAAATGGCATCTCCTCTCTGCTGTTCCAGGGAGAAGGTGGCTCAGTGGGTCCCCCAGGCCCTGTTGGCCCTGTGGTAAGTCACAGATTTTGGGTACAAACCGTGGCCAAAGCACAGGTGGTGGAACTGGGCAAGACCTCCACGGGCAGGTGGGACCACGGTGTCCTGCCTAGTTCATCCCTTGTGCTGAGTTTTAATCTAAAAACGATGAACTTCATTAAAATCCCCCTGGTAGCGTGGGGAGGAATTAGAAAAGGACCCCAGTAAAGGCCCCCAGTATCCCCATGAGCCCAGGGCTGCCCCTGCTGCCAGGGGAGATGCCCGGGGGTCCCCGTGCCATCCCCTCCTGTGTGGTGAGAGGGCTGAGCAGGGTCTGTCCTCGCAGGGGGAGCAGGGCCAGCCGGGATCCGTGGGCTGCAGAGGCATCAATGGCTCTCAGGTGGGTCTGCCCCAGTTCCCACCCTTTGCCATTTGGGATTTCCCGCTCCCTGTGCTCACCCCATCCCTTCCCTGCTCTCTCCACAGGGGGACATGGGCCCTCCTGGCCCGCCCGGCCCGCGGGGCCCCAAGGTGGGTGCACCCAGGGGTGAGGGCACCTCGTGGGGACGGGGTGTCCCGGGATGGGAGGGTGCTCTGAGGGTGGTCTCCTCCAGCTGGGCTGTGACCCCAAACCCCCCAAAACCCCACAGAGAGGCTGGGGCAGAGGTGGGAATCCTTTCTGTCCCCCTTGCCACGGCTGTGCTGGCTGGCACTGGAGCTCCTCAGCAGCTGGGAATTCCCGGGAGAGGTTTCCCACCCTGGTGCCTGCAGGGCTGTGGTTCTACCACATCCTTCACTGCCTTTCAGGGACCGCAGGGACTGCAGGGCAGACGTGGCCCCCCCGGCCCCAGGGGCTCCCAGGTGAGTGGGTGATCCTGGCGTGGGGGATCCCCCTCCCCGTGATCCTGCTGAGGGATGAAGGAGCTGCTGGGGTTTGTCCCCCGTGTCCTTTGCAAATGGAGGTGAAACCCTTGATCCTGGGGGTCCTCACGGCCCCCCGGGGGTGGGAGGGTGGGAAGGGCTGTGTGCCACGGGCAGGATGTGTGGGCAGAGGGGCTGAAGGGTCTCCTGGGGGGAGCTGGGCAGGGGTCCTGTGGGCTGGGGTCTCGTCCCCAGAGCAGGGCAGGGAGCAGCATCCCTCTTCTCCCAAACATCCCGCTGCCTTTGCTCTTCCCCAGGGTCCAGCTGGGATGGAGGGATCCAGTGGTCCCAAAGGAGACACTGTAAGAGCTTCTTGCTGCCCCCTTTGACCTTGGGGAGGGGGAAGCCCAGGTTTGAGGGCTTTCCCCAGAGGGACCTGGGGGATGGAGGGGGGGGTCCCTGCCCCTGCTTTTGGAGGGGAGAGGGGCAACACTTCCAGCAGAGCTTGCAAGTGCCATCTGGAGGTTCCTGCTCACCATGGGCAGGGATGTGGTGGGACTGGATTCTCCCTGCCCAGAGGCACAGGGTGATGTCAGCCGCCTTCTCTCTGGTGAGCAGGGACAGCACCCAGGGAATGGCTGGAGCTGTGTCAGGGCAGGCTCAGGTTGAATCTCAGCAAAAGGTTCTTCCCCAGAGGGTGGTTGGGCACTGACCAGGCTCCCCAGGGCAGTGGGCACAGCACCAAGGCTGCCAGAGCTCCAGGAGGGTTTGGACAATGCTCTGAGGGCCAGGGTGGGATTGTTGGGGTGTCTGTGCAGGGCCAAGGGTTGGACTGGGTAGTCCTTGGGGGTCCCTCCAGCTCAGGATATTCTGTGATTCCAGGATTCTTCTTGCAGGGAGCAGATGGTGCCCCTGGGGGGAGGGGACAGCCAGGCTTGGAGGGCCCTGGGGTAAGTCCATGGATGTGGGGTGCTCTCATCCTCCCCCTCACAGCCCCCCAAAGCCCTGCAAGGAATGCCCTGTTTCCCCCAGCTTCCCCCAGTGTTTGTGGCACCAGGGCTGGTGGAGGTGACAGGCACATCCCTCTACCACTGCCAACATTCCTCTGCCTCTGCTGCTCGCAGGGACCTCAATTTTTAATTTTTTTCCCCTATGGATTTATCAGCAGAGACAGCTCAGCCCTGCCCAGCCCTTTCTTTGTGCACTCCTTTTCCAAGGGTTTGGGTGCTGAGCTGCCCTTTCCAAAGGATGAGGATTTTGGGGTGGCCTGACCTCCCCCTGCCTGGCCCACAGTGTCCCTGTTCCTCATGTCCCGAGATCCCAACTCACAGAGCTGGAAACTGGGGCTTGTGAAAAGGATGTGGCATGTGGGTGGTGTGTTTTAGAGGCCAACAAGGGCTTCATCCTCCTACTAGGAGAGTTTGTGCACCCTCTGGAACCTGTGGGGAGCAAATCCCACCACGGCATCAGCAGCTAAACTGGTGCCTCCCATTTATCATCATCCCTGTGCTGTGGAAAGGTCTCCTCCATGAGTCAAGTGATACCTCCCTTTGTGTTTTGGGGTTTTTTTCTCACTTACATTTTGTGTCTTGCTCTGAAGGGGTTTATTGGCCTGCCGGGTCCAAGAGGCGCCCAAGGAGAGCGGGTGAGTGATGGCATCCATGAAATCCCTGCTTGGGAGGCAGGAGAGCTGGCTCAGAGCAGCCAGAACACCAGCTTGGGGCTCTAACAGGTGGCAGCTGCAGTTGTTTGGGAAGGCAGAGCTGCCCTCGGGTTTATCTTGCTGTGACAAGAGGAGCTTTCAGGCACCACCTGAGATGTCACCTGCCCTGGGGAGGCACAAGGGAAGAGGGAATGCTTTAGCCTGGATAAGGAGCACAGCAATGAGGACAAGGCACTGTGCTGGCATCAGGGATGGCACCACCAGCTGCTACAGGTGTCCTGCCTGCCAGGGGACTGCTGGGTGCACTAAGGGCTGCTTCAATGGGGATCAAACCCAAAGGCCCTGGAGCATCCCTGCCACAAGGAGCAGGTACCTGCTCCCAGCTCTGAAAGGCCCATCAGGAGGAAAATCCTGGTTGAAAAAGGGGCAAAACTCCCTTTGTTTGCTGCCAAAATCAGATCACAGCTTGCTTTGGCTGCAAGGAGGGGCACAGCAGGGTTTTCTCAGTGCACCCTCCACTGCTGCTGCTCTTGCAGGGCTGCCGAGGTCCAAGTGGAGCCAAGGGAGACCTGGGGGCCAAAGGAGACAAGGTACCACATTCCCAAGCTTCTGGTACCTCCAGTTGCTTCCTCTTTGGTTCTTCAGATGTGCTGTATCCCAGCTGGTGGGATGTGTGAGGACCCAGGGGACCCAACAGGGGCCATCAGAGCTGGGCAGCTCATCCTGTGCTTGATCCCACCACGCTGCTGCCTCTGCTCCATCCTGCCCTGCTCTGCCTCACTTGGGCTGTTTAAAAACGTTGCATTTCCCCACTGTTGGTGCCCTGGGAACGCTCGTGGAGGGAGGGTCGTGGGGTGTTCACCCGGAGCAGCCCCGTGCCCAAGGCTGGGGGTGTGGAGAGCCAGGGGATGGGCTCTCCAGGGGAATTCCTGCTGGGAGCCCTGGGCCACTGGCTGTCCCTGCTGCTGTGACACTGTGTTTTGTTCTTCCGAGGGTCCACGTGGAGCACAAGGAGCAAAAGGCCCCCCGGGGACCCGGGGCCAGGGGGGCTTGCAGGGCTTCCCCGGCCCCCGAGGGGCGGCGGGGCCGCGGGGCCCAGACGTGAGTGCCAGGGCTGTCTGGGGTGTTGTGGGGTGGGAGATGTGTGTGCCCAGTGCCACACAGGGGGCAGGGGGCAGCCCTGAGGCAGTGCCACGTGTGGCAGTGCTGCTGGCACAGGGGGTTTACAGGGTCCCTCCAGAGGGACCCCTCCAATGGCATCACCCCCCTGGCGCTGCTCGGGCACCCCACGGGCAGCTTTGCCCAGAGCCCTTGGGGCTGCAGGTGCCCCCAGCACCCAAACAGGGCTGCTCCAGACCCCTCTGGCTGGGCCCCCATCCCAAAATTCACTGGTGGGGCAGCTTTAGGCAGGGGATTCCCAGCCCTCTGGAGCTGCCTCTGCCCGAGCAGCTCTGCAGGGATCCCTCCGAGTCCCCGCTCCAGGTCAGCACCTTCCCAGCTATTTTGGGAGCAGAAGGCTCACAGGTTGCTCACTTGATGCTCCTCTTTGACTCCTGCCAGGCTCTGCCTCCTGGAGCCTGTGCTGGCAGCTCCAAAAGGCCTTTGGAATGCTTTTTCCTGCAGTCTGCTCTGAGGGAGCTGTCAGGGTGGATGAACCCATCTCCAGATCAATATTCCTACCTGGGAAGTGAGGCCAGGCTGGCAGGTTGTCTCTAGTGGTTTCCAGATTCTCAGGAGGAGGAGAAGGGGGATTATATATTCCCACCCACCTTTCCAGTCTGCAGTATCCCCCTGTAGGTGATGCCCTCCCCCTCGGGGAGGGGGGGATTTTGGGATGATGCCTGCCTGGATCTGCTCTCACATTTGCTCTCCAGGATGAGAAGTGAATCCTCCCACCTCTCCAAGAGCTGCAGACTCAGCAGGACTCATCCCCTGCCTTGTCCACCCACCCAGACAGCGCTGCCAGCACATGGTGTTGGTCTGGAGCTGGGTTTGGATGGAGCAGGAACTTGGCAATCAGTCCCTTGAATCCCCTTAAACTGGATCAGCAGGACAAAAAATTATTCCACTGTGTTGTCAAACTACTGGACTTTTTCTTTCTGCCCAGTGTTATAACCTGGAGAACGGGGGAGGTCCCCATTCCCACCCCGGAGCTTGCCTGGTGCCCCAGCTCCCATTGCCACTCCTTGATGCCACCTCTGAGCCCACTGCCTGTGTTTTCCCCCTGCCCCAGCAGCAGGATGGTGGCTGGGGGAGCCAGCAGGACCAGAGGCTGTCTTTGCCCTGGCTGACTCCTCTCCTGTCTCTCCTGGCAGGGGCAGGAAGGCCAGATAGGCCCAGCAGGGCTGAACAGCAGCGAGGGACCCAAGGTGAGCCCCAGGGTTTGCTCCTGCTTTCCCACAGGCTGCCCCCAGCCTTGCCCGGAGAACAGGGATGTGGCTGCCCTGCAAGGGATCCAGCACCTGGAGCACTGTCCCAGTGCCCCCCTGGGAGGGTCCCCAGCCTCCTGACCCCCATCCCACTGACCTGCCACCGAGGCAGAGGCTGGATGAGCCCCCTCAGGGTGGAGGGGCTGGGGGGGGAGACCTGCAGAGGTGCCTAAAATGCCTGTGCTTCCATTTGTGTGGATTTTAGGGAAGCCAAGGACCTGATGGCCCCAAGGGAAGCCCAGGACCGCGGGGAGCCCGGGTAACTAACGGGGTGTTGGTACTTGGGGCTGGGTCTTGGAGCACCTTTGGCTGTGGGAGATTGAAACAACCCTGGAGACCCTTTGCTTGTCTTGAGATGTGCTGGGGCTGAGCCACCATCAGGCACCAGATTTGCCTCCGAAAAAGCAGCTTTACTTCTGCCAGAAGGATGTTTTTGTCATGCCTGATGTCTTCCAGGGCCGTGTGGGTCAGCGTGGGCTGGTCGGAGTCCCTGGACTGCCTGTGAGTAGGAGATCTCCCACATTCCTGTGCTGGCAGGGAGAGCAGCTTCCTGGGATGTGACCAGATTGGAGGGTCGGGCTCTGCTTGGGAATTTGCACAGGATAAGTTGGGGATGAGCAGCTCAGGCTCTTGCACGTTGCACAAAGTGTTTTAACAAACCACCTGCCCCCCAGCGCCACCTCCCTCAACGCTGAGCACAGAAAATTCCAGGAAATAGCAACTTTTTGAGAAAGCTGTGTTAGTCAGAGTCGTGTTTGGGGAAGGAGCCAGGAAAAAATAGCTGGGGCAGGAGGGGGAAAATAACACAGCCGAGGTGTTCCCGGTGGGAACGGGTTTCCTCCCACACTGCCGTTATTTCCAAAGGTGGGGATGGAGCAGGGAGGAGCTGCAGGAGCTGCTTGGGATGAGCTCAGTACACACACCAGACTGTGGCACTGCTGGTTTTCCACCTCTTCACTCTGGAGGGAGGCTCTGGGGCTGGAGGAGCCCTTGGTGGGCTCACCCTGGCACCGGGCTCTGCTCCCCTGAGACGAGACTCTCCTTGCAGGGCTCGCGGGGTGTCCCGGGAGCAGAAGGAGCAGAAGGAAAGCCTGGTACACAGGTTCCCATCCTACACTCTGTACTTGGCTCTGGGAGAGGGTTGGGGTGGTGGCTTGGATCCAGAGGGGGAGCTGAGCCCAACAAAGGTGAACTTCCCAACCCCCCAATCCCCATGGCCACATGGGTCGTGGCCTCGGCCCCGTGTTGGACCTTGCCATGGTGTGGGACTGGGAGAGGCTGTTCCTGCCTCCCCATCCTCATCCTCACCTGCCCTGTCCTGCAGGGTCACCCTGGAATCGTGGGCAGCCTGGGCAGGAGGGGGTCACTGGTGAGTAGAGCTGCTTTCTGTCCTTCCTCCCTCCTGCTCAGCTCTCTCCCCTTGGGAATGTCCCTCCAAAGCACGTCCATGGAATGGGGGACAGGTGCTGGCTGGAGTGATACCAGCCAGGGGGTGCTCCTTGGAGAATCCTGCTGAAGGGGGAAGGATTGGGAACAGGGCACTGTGATTTCCCATCCCTGGCACTGCTGCCCTGAGCAGATCCAGCAGCAAGACCTGGGCTGGTGGCAAATTTTCCCTCCTGCGGGATTTCACCTGTTTATCTTTGCTCTGAAATTCAAAAATAATTAAAAAAATTAAACATCTGGCACTGGCCTCAAAGCAGAAGATGAAAACTGGCCTGCCCTGGGTCAGAGAGGCCCCCTGAGCAACACACAGCATGTCTGGGTGCATGTGGGGGTGTTGTGTGTGTCCAAACCCAGTTGGGGGGCTTCCAGGGGGAATCCAGGAGCTGGATTTTAGGGGAAAGCCCCAGTGCTGCCTTCACCAGGCCAAGCTCTTCTGTGCTTTGGGTTGGGCTCAGACCCAGAGCAGAGTCTCTCCATCCTCCTGCTCCTGCCTTCCCTCCATTGCTCACCTGCTGCCCTTTCCTCCAGGGATTTGCTGGTTTGCCAGGAGGCCGTGGGCACCTTGGACCTCCTGGATCGATAGTAAGGGAAAAAAAATGTTCCTCTTGCATGAATTCTGGGTTTTCTGCTGGAGATATGGGACTCCCCTTGAGAATCAGCAGCAGCTCAGGGCATCTGTAGGACCTGATCTTACCTTCCTGTTTGAAGACATTAAAAAGCCTCAGTTGCAGAAAAGCTGGGGCCAGGGAAAGGGAGAATCATTTCCCCCCAGGAATTAATCTCCTCCAGGGGTTGTGCAGCTCCCCCAAGCCTGGCAGGGTGTCCATGGGGGATGGCAGCTCGTGGAAACCCTCCAGCCCTGGGTGGCTGAACAGCAGCTGGTCCTGGGTCCTGGGAGGAGATCCCAGTGGAATTGGGTGGTGCAGGTTCAGGGAGAGGCTGGTTGGCACTGGCCAGGCTCCCTGGGGCAGTGGGCACAGCACCAAGGCTGCCAGAGCTCCAGGAGGGTTTGGACAACGCTCTGAGGGACAGGGTGGGATTGTTGGGGTGTCTGTGCAGGGCCAGGAGTCGGACTTGGATGGTGCTTGTGGATCCCTTCCAACTCAGGATATTCTGTGATGATGATTTAATGATCTGGGACGGAGACCCAGAGCAGCTCCTGCAGCTGGAAGAGCTTCTCCCTGAGAGCTTGTGCTCAGCTGGGCTTGGGAGTGACCTTGAGAGGAGTATTGTCACCTTCCCTGGTGACAACCCTGCCAGCCAGGGGGGGGCTGCTGTGCAGGAGCCACCAGGGTGGGCCACAGGGGCTGAGTTTGTCCCCAGTGTCCCTGTTGGCACCAGGTGATGCCTGACCATGAGCACAGGGGCAGCACTGGGGGGGTTTGTCTCCTCTCAGCGTTTTGACTGACATCTCCTCCCTGAATAATTCCAAAGGGCTCTCCAGGAAAGCCTGGACCTGATGGAGACCCGGGTTCCCTGGGCCCAAAGGTGAGATCTGGGGCTCTGGGGGGGACCCTGAGTGTGCTGGGGGCTGGTTGGAGCAGCCATGGGGGTGAACAGCCCTGAGAGGCTCTTGGCTGCCAGGGGGACACCCGGGGTGAACCCACGGGCTCACACCAAGGGCTGCCCAGGTCCCATGGGCTCACCAGGGAGGGGAGGATGCCTGACTGCATCCTGGCAGTGGGGGTTCACTAATTCCCTCGTTTTGCCTGGCAGGGGCTGCCTGGGAAGCCTGGCTTGGAGGGGCCACAAGGACCTGTGGGCACCTACGTAAGGGATAGACCTGCCTGGGGAGGGGGTGGCTGCACTGGGGGGAGGCTGGAGCAGCCTCCAGCTGGACATTCACCATCCAGCCACCTTCTCCTAAACCAATGGAGGTGCCTGGTGGCCCTGGATGCCTCCTAACACCCTGCTCTCCCCAGGGCTATCCAGGACCTGCTGGTGACCGTGGAAGACCAGGGCGCAGGGGAGACAAGGTAGGGCTGGGACACCCAGCACAGCACTGGGGGGATGCAGTGGGGTGGGAATCCCGGCTTTGGAAGCATTTTTGGGCTGTTGAACCCAATGGCTGGGCCTGGCTGGTGTCCCCAGTCTCCATCTGTGGCAGGAGAACAGCTGGAGGTGGCTCCCACATTGGGTGGGTTCTCCATCTGCCCAAACTGCTGTGAATTGTTCTAAGAGCTGGTTTTTTTGTTTTGTTTTGTTGTGATTTTTTAAGAGGTTATTGCATTAAAACACACAGAGGAAAGGAAATCTTTCTTGCCTCCTAACAGGGAGAAAGGGGAGCCCAAGGTGCCCCAGGATTTCCAGGAAAAGCTGGTGCCAAGGTGAGTTTGCTGCTCTTCTGGGCAGCTCCAGCCCCCTGGAGAAGCACCCAGCAAGTCACCTGTGCCAGGCTGGGAATGGGGAAAATGGGAAATCTTTGCTGTGGGAAATTTCTGCCAGTCTCACAGCACCAGGGGGCTGAACTGGGGAGAGGGGCTCAGATGTTCTTTGATGATGTTCTTGTCCCCCAGGCCCTGCCAGGTCCCCCTGGTCCACGTGGTGCTCCTGGCTCCCAGGTAGGGCTCCCCATGCTCCCCGTGGGGCTGCTCCACGTCCTCTGTGTGGTCCCTGTGACCCTGCAGCACATCCCATGTGCTGCCTGGAGGGAGTGTCAGCAGCATGGATCCACCCCAGCCCCCTCTCTGGGAGCAGGCAGGACCTGCTGCCATTCCTTGCTGGCTGGGTCCTGTCCTGGTGCTGCATGGACACCGTTGGGGTGGTCCCAGCACGTGGGAGTCCCATGTGAGTCACATCTGAGTCCCCCTTGCTGAGCATCCTTCTTGTTTCAGGGCAGAACTGGTGACCCAGGTCCTCGAGGGCTCCCAGGGCTGCCTGTAAGTGGAGAGCTGTCCTGGTAGGGGGTGGTGTCCAACGGGATGAAAGATGGGTGCCCACTGTGGGAACATTTTCATCTCTGGGCTGGTTGTGGGGCAGAGAACAACCCAAACCCAGCATGGGTGGCTGGCTGGTGACAAGTTGGGCACAGAGACAGCAGTGCCCTCCTACAACTACAGTAATCACAGAACCACAGAATCAACCAGGTTGGAAAAGACCTCCAAGATCATGGAGTCCAACCTGTGACCCAACCCCACCTTGTCACCCAGACCATGGCACTGATGCCACATCCAGGCTCTGCTCAAACCCCTCCAGGGACGGGGACTCCACCCCCTCCCTGGGCAGCCCATTCCAAGGGCTGATCCCTCTCTCTGCAAACAACTTCTGCCCAATGGCCAACCTAAACCTGCCCTGGGGCAGCTCAAGGCTGTGCCCTCTTGTCCTGCTGCTGGTTCCTGGCAGCAGAGCCCGACCCCCCCTGGCTCCCCCCTCCTGGCAGGGAGTTGCAGAGAGTGAGAAGGTCTCCCCTGAGCCTCCTCCTGTCCAGGCTGAGCCCCCCCAGCTCCCTCAGCCTCTCCTCACAGCACTTGTGCTCCAGACCCTTCCCCAGCCTCGTTGCCCTTCTCTGGACCTGCTCCAGCCCCTCCATGTCCTTCCTGAGCTGAGGGGCCACAACTGGGCACAGCACTCCAGGGGTGGCCTCACAGGGGCAGAATCCCCTCCCTGCTCCTGCTGCCACCCTGATCCTGAGCCAGGCCAGGATCCATTGGCCCTCTTGGCCACCTGGGCCCCCCTGGCTCATGTTCAGCTGCTGTCAGTCAGAGCCCCGAGGTCCCTTCCTGCCTGGCCCTGTCCCCCCACTCTGTCCCAGCCCGTGGTGCTGCAGGGGGTTGTTGTGGCCACAGTGCAGGACCCGGCCCTTGGCCTGGTTGGACCCCAGACCATGAAGGTGAGAGGCACCAGGACCCCCCTGGAGCAGGTGGTACCTTGCAGACCCCGTGGTGGCCCAACTGCATCAACCACGGGGCTCCTGCCGGCTTTGTCCTCCCTGGAGCTGCAGCCAGAGCTGCTTTTCAGGCTGCCTGAGTGGCCTTTTGGCCTTACAGGGTGTTCCTGGTGTGCGGGGGCTGGATGGCATTCCCGGGAAGCCTGGCTTGGCTGGAGAACCCGGGGCTCCTGGAGCAGCTGGTGCTGCTGGCCCGCCTGGGTACCCGGTGAGTGCAACCAGGGCTCCCCATCCACACCCAACCCATACCCTGGCTCACAACGGGGTGCAGGGACTGTGCTGGTGCAGCACTTTTGGGGAGCTCCCCAAAGCAGGAAGGGAAGGAAAAGGGAAGGTGGTGAAAGGGGCTTGAGGAGCTGGTGTGTGGCTTCTCTTCCCGTGGGCACGTGCTGTGTGCCAGGGCATCCCAGAACCAGCTTGGGAGCTGGAAAGGCCTCCTGAGCTGGGGCAAATTGCTGCTGATGTGGGTTGTTCGTTTGCAGGGCCGGGAAGGTCCAAATGGACATGAAGGGCCTTCAGGGATGAGAGGAGAGAAGGTGAGGACAGAGGAGGGGGTTGGTTCCCCTTGCTGGCCCCTGGAGAGCCTTGGGCTTGTTCTGCTGACCTCCCCAGGGCACCCCTCCCAGTTTGGCCCCTGGCTTTGCCCAGTGGGATGGGGCTTTACATCCCTGGTGCAAGGTGGGAGAAGAGCCTTGTGGAGACCTCCACGGCTCTCCTGGTGTCTGTGTCCTCTCCAGGGCGATGTGGGAGACCCTGGGGAAGCTGGTGTCCGTGGGCTGGATGGTGAGCAGGTACATCAGCTGGAGAACCGTGTCCTCCCCTCACTGGGCTGCTCAGCCCCTGCCTTCCCACTCCAAGGGTGGGAAGTGATGGGAGGAGGCTGCTGATCCTCAGCTAAGCCCGAAGGTTAAAGCTGGGTCTGTGTTGGTGAGGGGTAAATGAGCTGTGCCAGGGCTGGGCTGTGTCTTTTCCCCCCAGGGACCACCGGGACCACCAGGAATGGAGGGTCAGCCTGGGCCCAAGGGCGAGCAGGTGGGTACCCAAGGGTGCTGGGGGTGGTGCTGGGGTGGTGCTGGGGTGGTGCTGGGCTCCTCTGGCCCTGCTGATGCACCTGAATCCATGGGGGGCTGTTTGAAATCCCCCCCCCCAGATTCCTCATGCCTGGAGATCGATGTTTCTGGGAATGGCTGGGAGGGGGGTCCCCTCCAAAGCTTGGTACCTGGAACAAGGAAAACTGGGTTTTGCCCAGTGTGGTACAAAATGATGGAGAGCAGGAACAGGCTTGGCTGGAAAAGGCAGACAAGAATAATCCTGATTGTCTCCATCCTGTGCAGGGAGAGACAGGAATCCGAGGAGCTCCAGGTGTCAGAGGGAGCCCTGGGGAGCCAGGGGATGATGGACCAGAGGGGCCTCCAGGGCGGCCTGGGAAGCAGGGGAAGGAGGTAAGTGTGGGACCGTCCCCACAGGGGTCACTGATCCCTGCTGGGATCCCCTGCCAGGGCATCACATAACCACA